GAGGTGCAGATCACTTTCCGACTCCCCCGGGCTAGAATGCAGAGGTGGCCCGGACCCTCCCAGAGCCCACGCCTCGCACCTTCTGCTTCAGGACTAAGAGAAGGACTGATGTCCATCTGTCTGCCTATTTGTCTGTTTCCATCAGATACAGCCTGAGGGAGGGAGGGAGAAAGGAGGACATGCTAGAAAAAGAGCAATAGGCCTGGTGCAGTGGCTCACGCCTGTAATCTCAGTACTTTGGGAGGCTGAGGTGGGCGGATCACTTGAGGTCAGGAGTTCGAGACCAGCCTGGCCAACATGGTGAAACTCCATCTCTACTTAAAAAAAAAAAGTTAGCTGGGCATGGTGGCACGTGCCTGTAATTCCAGCTACTTTGGTAGCTAAGGCACAAGAATTGCTTGAACCTGGGAGGTGGAGGTTGCAGTGAGCTGAGATCGTGCCATTGCTCTCCAGCCTGGGCAACAGAGCGAGACTCAGTCTCAGAAAAAAAATATAAATAAATAAAAAATAAAAATAAAATAAAAAAGCAATAATTCCAGCCTCCAGAGTTTCCCTGCCGAGAACATCATCCCATCTCATCCCCACTTCACTTTCTCCACTGGCCCTGGCTTGCCTGAAACACTCCCTGTCCATTTGGTGTCAGGACCCCCTTCCACTCTGAAAAATTATTGGTGATCTCAAAGAGCTTTTGTTCGTGTGGGTTATAGCTATTGGTGTTTGCCATATTAGAAACTAAAACTGAATAGTTTTTGAAATAGTTCTTTATTATTAATAGTTATTTTAAAATATCAATAATAAACCCATTGTATGTTAACATAAAATAACAATTTTCATGAAAAAGAAATGTATTTTCCAAAACAATAACAAAAACGTGGTGAGCAGAGCGGCACTGTTTTGCATTTTTGCAAACCTCTGATGTCCGCACCTTCACCTCATCAGAGCTGCTTCTGCGTGAATCTGCCGCGAAGGGTTGTCTGGGAGGAAGTGGATGGGAATAATCTAGCCCCACATGGGATAAGTGGTTCGAAAGGGCAGGGTCTTACGGCCGCTGAAAGGGCCCCAGGGACCTCAGGGATCCCCCACACCACGCTTTGGGAACCACTGCTCTCAGTCTTTGGCTCTGACCCTGACAGCCTCTGTTCCTGTCCTCCCCCTTTATCACATCCCCGAGCTCTGGTCCCATCACCTCCAAGACACATGGGCCCTCTCACACCTCCTGGCTTTCACATGTGACCCTCCTTAGGTCTGGAATTCCTTTCCCTTCCTTCTCTGCGCAGCAAACGCTTACTCATCCTTTGAGACTCAACTCCGAGACCAACTCTTTCGTGAAGCCTGCCCTAATCCCTCTCTCCACTTCCAGGCACCAAGGGTTGCCCAAGCCTGGGACTGCCATCGTCTAATTCTTTCTCTTCTCTCCTAAGGAGCAGGTGGTTGGCAGGGAGCTCCCCAGAGGGAGGGATCCCTCTTGGACCACTCTGCCATCCTGGGTGTGGGGGCACGTTAGGCTTTGTGGAATAAGGGAAGTGTTTTTTTGAGACAGAGTAGTCTTGCTCTGTTACCCAGGCTGGAGTGCAGTGGCACCATCTTGGCTCACTGCAGCCTCCGCCTCCCATGTTCAAGCGATTCTCCTGATTCAGTCTCCCGAGTAGCTGGGATTACAGACATCTGCCACCACACTGAGCTAATTTTTGTATTTTTAGTAGGGATGGGGTTTCACCTTCTTGGCCAGGCTGGTCTTGAACTCCTGACCTCAGGCGATCCGCCTGCCTCGGCCTCCCAAAGTGCTGAGATTACAGGTGAGAGCCACTGCGCCCAGCCTGGAATAAAGGAATTTGGGCATGAAGGGAAGGAAGGAGAATTCCTGCTTCTTTTAGAGTGGAAACTGCTCCAGGAAACACCTCTCAGGCTGGGTCTCTCAGTTTGTTCCCTTCCGACTCCGCTCGGGGGCTGAGGCTTAGGAGAGGGAGAATTCAAATCTATTTCCTCACTCTCTCCTATTCTTCTCGCCACCTACTTCCAAGGACAGCATAGGCTGAGGCTCCAGCACCCCAGCTGTGTCTGTGGGAACTGGCTGTCCCCGAGTCCCTGCACATGGGGGTGTGTGTATGTGCATTTGTGTGCATTCGTGTGTGTGTACGTGTGTGCATATGTGCCTATGTGTGTGACAGGGACATCACAAACCCTGCTTTCTACTCTAAAAAATTATTGGTGATCTCAAAGAGCTTTTGTTCATGTGGATTATAGCTACTGATGTTTGCCATATTAGAAACTATAACTGGCCGGGCGTGGTGGCTCATGCCTGTAATCCCAGCACTTGGGAGGCCGAGGTGGGTGGATCATGAGGTCAGGAGTTCAAGACTAGCCTGGCCAACATGATGAAACCCCATCTCTACTAAAAATACAAAAATTAGTCTGGCGCAGTGGCAGCTGCCTGTAATCCCAGCTACTCAGGAGGCTGAGGCAGGAGAATTGCTTGAACCCAGAGGGTGGAGGTTGCAGTGAGCCAAGATTGAGCCACTGCACTCCAGCCTGGGAGACAGAAAAAAAAAAAAAAAAAAAAGAAAAAGAAAAAGAAAAGAAACTAAAACTGTGAATTGTTTGAAATAGTTCTTTATTATTAATAGAGTGCCTGTTAACCAATAATTATAACCAATTAATTATTATTGGATGCCTGGCAGACATCCAAATGAGTGAACCCCTGAGGGTCCCAGGACAACAGGGAATGGTAGGGACTGTGGCAAAGAGGACCCACCCAACGAAGCAGCCACAACTCCATGCCAGCAGAGCCCACCTGCTAAGAGGAGCTGCAAGTTCTTACTTTCAGGTAAAACCTTCAGATTTTTAAGTGTTGTCCTAAGTTCGTAACACACTGTGCTGGTCCAAAGGACATCAGTGGTCTCAGGGTCCTAGAGGTGGATGCAGAAGCCTCACTGGGTGTGGAGTGGGGAGGAGAGGGACTCAGCCAGGGGACTGTGTTTTACAAGCCCTAACCAGGCTTCCTTCCAGGGATCCTCCCTCACCCTTCGAGCAGCTGTGATTGACAATTTCCCCCAACAGTATTGATCCCCACCCCTTGGGAGAGCACTGAACTTCATGCAGAAAGACCGGAACTGGCACACTCAGGAACAGGCCTTTGGAGCCTGGAGGGACCTTAGTCCGGCATAGAAGCTGAACCCTGAGGAGTCCAGGGACTTGCCTGAGGGGGTGCAGCCAGCGCCGGGCTGCAAGGCAGCGTGGGCACTCCTGGCCGCCTGCCTGGACGCATCCTCAAATGCCGCCCTGCCACGGAAACATGAAACACTGCTCCAAGCAGTCCAGCTGCACTGAAAGCCAACGCCCCACCTGTTGTTACCTTCCACTAAATTTTCCAACTCCGCTCCCTCCCTCCTCCTCCACGCATGGCCTCTTCACCCTTGGTGGCTTTTTCTGGAACCTTAAGATTTCACACGGTATTGAACTTGGGAGGGAATTCAGTTATGAGACTGGGACCTAGCAAAAAGCCAACCTAAACATCAGCACGGTCTTTTATGAGTCCTTCTAAGGGTAACAAAATAAATAATTTTAATGAGAGAGAGGCAGAGAGTGAGACAGAGAGGATTTTACAGACGATGAATGTTTTTCCTTGGGGTCCATTCTCCCCTACTCCTCTGCAGTATCAGGAGCGAGGGGTGGGCACCCACAGCCTGGTGCTGGAGTCATTTTGTGCACCTGGGATAGAACAAGACCCCAGAGGTCGAGTCCCTCCACTCATTTCCGGCTGACAGCAGGATGTCACTTGAGGCTGGAGATCCCGGGGCATTGGGAGAACTCCTGATCCAGCTCTTACGGTGCCTGAAGTCCTACCAGCCCAGCTCTGGGCTTGAAGGGCTTTTTCTCTTCTAAAGACACTTATCAAGGTGTGAAAATTCTGGGGAGAGAGAAACGCCCTCTGATGCCTACCCCATCTTCTGCCTGGCCACTGGCTGGATTCAAGAGCCACAAGGTCATTTGTGGGCAGACGGGTCTTAGCAGAGTCTGAGAGGAGAAGGGGCAAAGGTGAGCCCAGCGGAGTGGTCCCCTTACATTTGGAAGCGCGGAGGTGGGTACCCCAACACAGCCTGGGGAATTCAGGAAAGGCTTACTGGGGAAGAGGCTTTCATGCTGGGTCCTGAAGCAGGAGTAGGTGTGCATCAAATGAAAAGCAGGGAAGGCAAGCGGGGCCAGGCAGAGGGAACAGCACACGCAAAGGCCCACAGACAAGCTCTACAGGGCACTTGGTATGGAGCAGGAGGAGGTGCGAACCATGCTAAGGAGTTTGCTCTTCCCACTGTGGGCAACTGGGAGCTACCAAAAGCTCTAAGCAGGGAAAAGACCAAATTAGATTTGTAGTATAGAAAAGCTTGCTCTAGCAGGGCACTGTGGCTCCCGCCTGTTATCCCAACACTTTGGGAGGCCGAGGTGGACAGATCACCTGAGGTCAGGAGTTCCAAACCAGCCTGGCCAACATGGTGAAACCCCATCTCTACTAAAAATACAAAAACCAGCCAGGCGTGGTGGCATGCGCCTGTAATCCCAGCTACTCGGGAGGCTGAGGCAGGAGAATCGCTTGAACCTGGGAGGTGGAGGTTGCAGTGACCCGGGATAGTGCCACTGCACTCCAGCTTGGGCGACAGAGCAAGATCTGTCTCAAAAAAAAAAAAAAGAAAAGAAAAGAAGAGAGGAAAAGCCGCTCTACTGCAGTATGGAGACTGCAAGGATGGGGATCAAAATGGAAGAGGGGGCCAGGCAGGAAGTGATTGCAGGAGTTCCGGTGATAAGTGGTGGTGGCCTAGACCCCGGTTGTGACAGGTGGGATCAGGAGGTCAGTGGTCCAGGGCAAGGCGGACAGCAATGCCCCTCCATCTGAAGCCCCAATCATCTGGACTCTGACCCTGGGAGCAAAATGCACCTCCCTCCCTGCTCCATCAGCCCCCCATCCTCCCTGCTACTTAGCCACGGAGACAGGGTTTTGCCATTGGTACCTGGCTGGTCCGGGTGATGCAGCGGCGGACAAGGTCTCTGATGTTGTTGTGCTTGTCGGTCTGGAAGTACACGGTGGCGCTGGATTTATCCTTCAGGTAGGGCTTCTCAGCTGAGGCCCAGCTGTGCAGTAGGGCCGGCTCGCTGCCCTCTGAGGCCACAGGGAAGTAGGTGCCGGACTGTAGGGAGCTGGAGTCTAGTCCCTTAGGGCCTGTCTCTGCCGCTCCCAGGGTGTCTGGGGGACAGGGGCGCTCCCAGGCCTGGGCCTGGATGTACTGGGCCTCCACCGAGGACAAGAAGTCCACCTCGCCTTCCTGGCTGAGCACCCGCCAGTAGGCTTCAGGACCCCCATCCAAGAGGGCGTCCGTGGCCAGCCGGGCACTCTCGTTGTCACTAAAGTCAGCCCTAGCTGGCCGGACCCACTGGCTCTTGACATCTTCCAGACGCTTCCGGATTTTGCCCAGGTGCCTTGACCGGCTCATGCCGCCCGTCCCTGGGTGGTGCTGGGGGAGGCTGGCACGTCAGCTCCTCCAGATGTGCGAAGCAAATGGAACACACCACGGAGGAGTGGGGCTCCCACACCCCTGGGAGGCCGCCTGATCCCAGTACCGGCGTGCAGGGCACCTCCAAGAAGTAATTTACCGCTGTCCTGAGCAATGCTTCTCAGAACTCCTCATCTGCAGCCGAGGGATTGGCTTATCTCTCAGGGCCACCTGCCCTGCCCTCGGGCCGGGAGGGCTGGCTCAGACACCACCTTGGCACAGTCAGTCATGGGATATTTCCTCTCCTCCCAGCCGCAGGGGGAGGCGAAGGTGAGCCGGCTTTCCTGCTGGGTTTCACAACTCTCCCTCAGGCCTTTGTTACCAAGCAGGGAGCCTCCCCAGCACCACCAGCCCAGCTGGAGGATGGGCCTGAAGGAGGCCTGCCTGCCTCTGCTCCCCTCCTGGATGCCTCGATTCCCACGCTGTGTCAAAGATGAGAATTTCCCTGTGGCGGGAAAGATGCCATCCCTGAGATGCCTCCCCCAGCCCCGTGTGAGGAGGGAGCTGGACACGGGCCAGGGAGGGCTGTAGACCAGGTGTGCCTCCTCTCCTTGGCCACGCCCAAGTGCCCACCCCTCCCTGCCCTATGAAGGAGCTCCTCTCTCCCATGCCTTCTCAAGTGTCATTGTCATTGTCCTGTTTGCAGAGACCGCAAAGAGTTTCCAGTTCTCAGGCCAACGCTGCCTTGCTGGAAGAGGCTGCTTGGAACACCGTCTGGAGAACGAGCCGAGGCTGCCCGCAGCCCACGAGCCCAAAGGACCAGTCGGTCTTGGTGCTGGAGCAGGAGGAGCAGCATGTGGGTCTGAAATCCATGAACTCTGAGGGGAGTGACCACGTGTTCTTTCCAGATCAGGTCGTGGCCTGACAATGGGATGAACTGCCTAAAACCCTGACTCTCTTTGATTGGGCTCTGGTGGAAACAGGTTCTGAGACTAGGATTTGAGTACAGGTGGTTAATCAGAAGGTCATTCTGAGAAGCACAGAGAGGAGTGGGAAAGAGAGACGGGAAGGGAAGGAAGCCAGGCCAGGTGAAGGTGATGAGCAGGCCACTGTTGTGGACATCTGGGTTCATGGACATCTGTGGGGACATCAGGGGTTTCCAGCCTGTGGGAACCTCTGGGTGATGGTGGCAAATACATCTTAAGGTTTTCCTGCCCAAAGGGTGAGAAAGCTGCAGAGTTTATCTAAGGAGTCCTAGTTATCATTGGCTGAGGGCTGCTCCCGGAGCCAGTTCACCAAGCACAGCCCTGAACCCAGAGAAAGTCTTCGGGCAGTGTCAGGTGCTATAGGCAGAGAGTGCTGTGGGAGTGGTGAGGAGGGAAGAAATTAAAGCAAGGCCCTGACGCTATCTGCTCAGGGACGACAGCAAGAAATCAGGATTGTGTGGTCTTCAGAGAGCTGGGATATGGTAAGAACTTGATGTCTCTCAGTGGCATAGCCATTCTTTGGAGAAAAACAGCTGTGAGCACCTATAACCCTAATGTAGCTGTGGTCCTTGTGCCTCAGCCCAGCAGTACCACAGTGTTTTTTAAAGTGCGGTGTGGCCAGGCACAGTGGCTCATGCCTGTAATCCCAGCACTTTTGGAGGCCGAGGCAGGTGGATCACTTGAGGTCAGGAGTTCGAGACCAGCCTGACCAACATGGTGAAACACTGTCTCTACTAAAAATACAAAAATTAGCTGGGCCTGGTGGCTTGGGCCTGTAGTCCCAGCTACTCGGGAAGATTAGGCAGGAGAATCGCTTCAACCCAGGAGGCAGAGGCTGCAATGAGCCAAGATCACACCATTGCACTCCAGCCTGGGCAACAGAGCAAAACTCTGTCTCAAAAAATAAAATAAAATAAAATGAAATAAAATAAAAGGAATCTCTTCTCTCTCTCTTTTTGGAACATCGAAGGAATCCAATTCATAATCTTGAGCAATCCTCTCTTTATTCTATTTTATCTATTCCCTACAATCCCTGGCGGTCAAAGAGGACAAACCCAATAAACTCTCTCTCCCATTGCCTTTTGGATCTATGCCCGTTCCCTTCCGCCTTTTGCTAACTCTTGCTTCTGTAGATTGATGCAAGCCCTTTTCCCACATCCTCCTCCCATCTTCCCTCCTCTCTGGTCTGGTCTGTGTCCTCCTCAGGCCATTCTCTGTTCCTGCATCACCCAAGTCCTGTCCCCAGTCTAGCGAGATAGACCCCCGGGGCAGGGCAGTGGTCCATGGATTTGCTCAGCTTCACTCCATGGATCCGAAGCTGTCCATAGACTATACTCTCAGCGACCAGTTCCTGAATTCATTACTAGAGAAGTTTCTCTGAACGTGTAGAGCCCTGGGAACCAGGAGGGGGAGGTGAGCGTTTTCTCCTGAGCATGAGGTGGCTTTAGGTATTGCTTCATGGCAATTTGGCAACTGCCATGTGCCATTGAAGATGGTTCTTATCTTCCTCTGAAAGAGGAAGAGGACACAGTCTGAGTGGTTCCCATTTATGTTAATTTTTTTTAAAGTTGTCAATTGCTCCCTGTTGCCTATTAAACTAAGTGCCAAGTCTTGAGCCTACCTGAGACCCTGCACAAAATGGTCCCATATGTTCATTCGAGCCTGACTTCTCCTGTACTTGGCCATCGCTGAGTGCTCACTGCTTGCTGGCTCTCTGTGCTGAGGGAGAAATGAGTTATTAGTCCTCATTTCACCAAAGAGGAAACCAAAGCTCAGAAAGGTTGAGTCACTTGCCCAAGATCACACAGCTGGTAAATGGCAGAGCCCGTGTACTTTCCACCATTCCAAGCTTCACTTTTTTCTTTCCCATTCCCCTTCCCTTTCTATTTACAGCGCATTACAAATCCTCTTATTGGTTCCTGAATATGCATGGGGAGAACTTTAAAAGTAGGTGGGTATTCTGGGGTTCTCCTTTCACCTGGACCTAATTCTCTTTCTTGGTTGAATAAATGTTTGACTGTCTCCCTGAGACAGAGGTATCTGTGACCATTTTCTCCTTGTCCTCTCACAGAGCAGCTCTTTAAAACAAAACAAAAACCCGAATCTGAATGAAACTTCCCCTCTAGAGTCCTGCTTCTGTCCCCAGCTCTTGGTCCTCACACAGACCCAGAGATTCCAGTTGAATCAAGATGAATACATGTTGGTGTCACTCATCCTCCATCCCTGGCAGACATTACTAGTTGATCATAGGATTCTGCCAGTGAGCTGGAAACTGTTCTTTTGCCACTCTTTGTAGGGATTATCTTAGTCCATTTTATGCTGCTCTAACAGGATGCCACAGGCTAGGTGATTTATAATGAACAGAAATTTATTTGGCTCATGGTTCTGGAGGCTGAGAAGTCCAAAAGCATGGTGCCAGCATGTGGTGAGACCTTCTGCACTGTACATCCCATAGTGCAGGGCGGAAGAAAGGGAGAGAAAGAAGGGGCCGAACTCATTTTAACAAACCCACTCCTATGAGAGTGACATTAATATATTCATGAGGGCAGAATACTCACGGTCTAATTACTTCTCATTAGGCCCCACCTCCCAACACTTTTGCACTGGGGATTAAGCCTCCAACGCATGAACTTTAGGAGACACATTCAAACCATAGCAGGAATCACAGAGAAGTCCTCACCTGAAGGAATGCTGAAGGTACTGCAAGCTCTTCAGTTACCGATGAGAAAACTGTAGCCCAGAAAGAGGAAGTGACTGTTCTCAAAGTCATCAAACTGGTTGCTGATTCTCATCAGCTTAGTCTCTCATCTCTCCTCCGCAGCCCAGCCCTGTGAAGTGTCCTCATTCTTGCCCGCTGCAATAACAAACTTCCCCAGCTAGGATTGCACTTCTGAACCAGGAAGTCTGGCCAGCTGTTGAACTGCACGTTCATACCTTGAAAAATCCTTATCAAGGAGCCCTCAGTGACAGGCACTGTGGATTATGGAGGACTCCACTTCCCTTCTTCCTTCCTGTGGCCATCTGAAGTGTGGTTGTCTCCTTTTCATGAGGTCATCCAACAATCAGAGAAAGGATGAGAAGCCAGACTCCTGTTAATAAATGAGTGGCATATTGGGGCTTCCTGAAAATTCCATTTATCTAGGACAGTGGCACTCAGCTGGAGGCGATTTTGGACCCCCATCCAGGGGACATCAGGCAACGTCTGTAGCCATTTTCGGTTGTCATTCTGGGGGCGTGGGTTGCTAACTGGCGTTAGTGAGAATAAGCCAGGGGGTCTGCTACATCCAACGACACACTGGAAAGTCCCCCACAGTACAGAGCTGCCTGACCCAGAACACGTGCAGCGCTGAGGAACACCCTTACAGGTGACCGATGTGGGGATCCCAGTCTCCTGCCGTTGTTCAGTCTGTTCCCGCAGTCCTTCCCTCCACCATCATAACTTATTCAAATCTTTCCCAGCATTCAAGGTCTATCCGGAATCTGACCTATGCTAAGAAGCCCCCCTGGTGAATTACCAAGCGGCTGTAACTGCTCCTCCTCTGGTCCGCAAGGCGTTTGTAGAATATGTCTCAGGCAGTCTTGTCCTGGTCATGGGTGTATTGCCCCATCTCCCACTGCTTCTAATTCCTTGAGCAGTGCAATGGCAAAAGGCTTACATGAACTCTGAGTTGGGCACAACTGTGTCCAGACTGTGCCTATGATAGGGGACCTCAGGAAGGTATCATAGAGGACCTCACTGAACTTCACTCTTCTCGTCCCTATAGTGACAGCTAACATTTGTGGGGCACGTCCTATGTGAGTGAGGTGGTGTCCTACGTCATTTTCATGTGCTAACTCACTTCAGCCTCATGACAACCCTGTGAGTAAATGCTATTACCATTCCGTTTCATGCATGAAGGAAATAAGGCACAGCGGTAACCTTAAAGAGTGTGAGATCTAAGGGCGCTGCACTGGGTGGTCAGTGACCAAACCTTGTCCAGTTTCTGCTTGGCTCTTTAGCCGGAGAGAGTGCCAGTGTTTCTTTCTGAGTTTTCTACATCATTGATGTTATACTCTCCTTACAATTTTATATATCTTGCCTTCTTTTTTGCTTAGCATTACTCAGAAGTGTCTTTTCCATGTCATTAAAAGTGTGCATGCTTCCCTGTTCCACACCTCCCTTCTTTTTTCTTCTGGAACAAGTCAGTCCTAAAGCCAATGGGTGGGTCAAAGCAAGGTGGGTGTCAGCGGTGGGAATGGGCTTGGTGGCTCGGAGCATGTGTTGGAGCCCAGGCCAAGTGAGGAGGTGCAGGGGACTGAGGGGGTGAGGGAATGTCTGCATAGGGTGTGAGGGTGTGTCCTCACAGGGGCCAGTCGGAGACCAAACAGGGCAAAGAGGGTGTCCATGTGGGTAGGGGAGCTGCCTAAAAGGGGTGTCAGAGCTCTAGCAGGAGGAGGTGGGGGAACATGGGAGATTGGTTACCTACAGAAGCATTGATCAAATAAACAAATAGATTAAAGGTAAGGGAAACCAGGTTTCTTATTGTCAGAGCAGGGAGCACACATGGAGAAAAGGGGGAAACTGAAATGGACTTCTTAGATATGAATTGGAGGCACCAATTTGAACTCACAGCTTTCAATAGAGATAGATAAACTTAGATAAAAAAAATATATATATATTTAAAATATTTCTAGAATTTGTTTTCTGTATTTATATTCTATTCATTTATAATATGTATTATAGATTCTCCTGTTCTGTCTGCTGACAGTGACGCTCAGACTGCAATGTGTGCCCAGGGCTTCTTGGAGAAATGGCCGATTTCAAGTCCAGAGCAGACGAAGTACAAAGTGATCATGGAGCATCTCACGCCAGAAAGCAGGAAGGAGCTCAAAGAGTGATGAGGCCATGTCAAAAAGACATGCAAGCCAACTTGGAGGGGTTCCCACTGGCTTACCTGGGACAATCTGAGCATGAAAATCATGGCCATAAAGGATTATAATGCATGAAATAATGTAGGAAACCACAAGACCAGACTAATACAAATAAACACATATTTTGAAAGTTTGAGAAGGAATGGGATGAAATTTCATATAAACTCCCGACAGGGCGTGGTGGCTCACACCTGTAATCCCAGAATTTGGGGAGGCCAAGGTGGGTGGATTGCTTGAGCTTAGGAGTTTGAGGCCAGCCTGAGCAACAGGGCAAGACCTTGACTCTACCAAAAAAAAATTAGCGTGGTGGTGTGTGCCTGTAGTCCCAGCTACTCAGGCAGCTGGGGCAGGAGGATCACTTGAGCCCAGGAGGTCCAGGTTGCAGTGAGCCCTGTTCGTGCAAGGCACTCCAGCCTGGGCGACAGAATGAGTCCCTGTCTCAAAACAATAAAATAAAATAAAATAAAATAAAAATAAACTCCCCATAAAATACTTGAAAATTACAAAGGGGAACAAGAAACTTTACAACACAGACACTTATCAGACACCACCCTAATCAAGGGATCAAAGTGACCCTCATTAATAAAGGGACAAACTGAAATCTTGAGCCACCTGAGAGGATGCAACAAGATGACAGAATCACTTCTGTGATGTTCCTGGCAAAGATACATGATCAGAATCGAATTAGGAGGAAATATCAGACAAAGCCAAATGCGAGGACATCCTACAAAGTAACCGCCCTCTCATCTCAGAACTATCAAAGCCAGTATCTTAGGGAGGTCTGGGGAACTGCTCCATAGTGAAGGAGACTAAAGAGCTCTGATAACTAAATGCAACGCGTGATTCTGCACTGGATTCTTCTGCTGTGAAAGACATATTGGGACAGTTGGCAGAACTTGCAGGGGACCTGAGGATTAAATGGCAGCAATTTATCACTGTTGATTTCCCAATTTTGATGGTTCAATTGTAGTTTGTAGGAGAGAATCCTAGCTTGTAGGAAACACAGAAAGTAATAGGGATGGTGGCGCATTCTGTCGGCAGCTCTCTCTCAGTGGTTCAAAAGAAAGGAAATGGCCGAGTGCAGTGGCTCATACGTGTAATACCAACACTTTGGGAAGCTTGAGACAGGAGTTCAAGACCAGCCCGGTAATACAGTGAGACCCCCATATCTACAATTTTTTTTTTTAAATTAACCAGGTGTGGTGGTGCATGCACCTGTAGTCCCAGCAACTTGGGAGGCTAAAGTGGGAGGATTGCTTGGGTTGTGGAAGATGAGGCTGCAGACAGCCATGATCACACCACCACCCTCCAACCTGGGTTACAAAGTGAGACCCTGTCTCAAAAAAAAAGAAGCAAGACCCTGTCTCAAAAAGAAGAAGAAGAAAAAGAAGTAACAGGAGGAGGAGGAGGAGGAGGAGAAAGGAAATACTTTGTACTGGTTTTGCACTGCTTCAGTAAGCTTTTGATTTAAAAAAAAATGTTTTTTAGGCCGGGCGCGGTGGCTCACGCCTGTAATCTCAGCACTTTGGGAGGCTGAGATGGGCAGATCACGAGGTCAGGAGATCGAGACCATCCTGGCTAACATGGTGAAACCCCATCTCTACTAAAAATACAAAAAATTAGCTGGGCGAGGTGGCGGGCGCCTGTGGTCCTAGCTACTCAGGAGGCTGAGGCAGGAGAATGGCATGAACCCGGAAGGTGGAGCTTGAAGTGAGCCGTGATGGCGCCGTCGCACTCCAGCCTGGGCGACAGAGCGAGACTCCGTCCCAAAAAAAAAAGTTTTTTAGGTCATCCCATGAAAAGGAAACAATCAGAAAAATCCGGAACATGGGACAATCTACGAGACAACAGACAACAGGCAGGGTGGGTAGAGAGGGCAGCAGCAGGGACGGATAGTCCTGTTGCATACACTCTGCATCCTGGCGCAGACCGGAAATGTTTTTCCAGATGAGGAAACTGAGGCACAGGGAGGTTAAGTAAATTCCTTAAGGGCCCCATGACAGAGCCTGGATTGGGCTTGTCTGTAACTGCTGGTTTAAGCGGGAATCTCCTCCTTTAGGCTGTGAACAATTTGGGGTGGGGGTGGGGCCAGACATGACTTAGCTTCTTGGAACTCCAAGTGCCCATCCCAGTTTGGGGCTGGCACGTCCAAGGCACCGAATGAGCACTTGTTAAATGAACAGACGGCGAAGAGCTCCTGAATCACAGGCCAGCTCACGCGGATAGAATGCACACAAATAGGACTCCAGCGCTTGTTCACGGGGCAGGAGTCAGGCCAGGGACACAGCGACCTGGAGGAACAGGGTGCCTGTTTGACCTCCAGGGGCGACTGCCACCCTCTCCTGCCACTTCCTCATCAAGGCCTGCAGCAGCATGAAAATCATACAGTCTCCTTACCCAATGACCCGAGAAGTGCAATTAAGTTGAAATTAGTTGGCATAATTAATTAGACGGGTAAATAGCTCCCTGTCAACATCAATCAATCCATTCTGCCTAAAATCAGCTCAGCGAAGGCAGGCTGAGGAGCCCCTGTAGCGCTGGCCTCTGCTGGCGGGCAAGGTCAGAGAGTGGCGGCTGGAACAGTCCAGGGTGTCCTGCCGGTCACCCTAGACCCCACTCCCCCATCCACAGGTCCTTTACAGTTGGTTTTTTTTTTTTTTTGAGACAGAATCTTACTCTGTTGTCCAGGCTGGAGTGCAGTGGCACGATCTAGGCTCACTGAAGCCTCCGCCTCCCGGGTTCAAGCAGTTCTCCTGCCTCAGCCTCCTGAGTAGCTGGCATTACAGACACGTGCCACCATGCCTGGCTAATTTTTGTATTTGTAGTTGAGACAGGGTTTCACCATGTTGGCCAGGCTGGT